CTCTCTCTCCTCTTCTCTCTCTGTCCTGTCTCTCTCTCTCTCTCCTCCTCTCTCTCTCTCCTCATTCCTCTCTCTCTCACTCTCTCTCTCTGTCTGTCTCCCTCTGTCTCTCTCTCTCACTCCTCTCTCTCTTGTGTCGTTCTAGTCTCCTCTCTCTGCGCTCCTCTCTTCGCTCCGTCTCATCTCTCCACTCTCTGTTCTCACTCTCTCTCTCACCCTACTCTCTCTGTGCTGTCTCTTCTTTCGATCTCTGTCTCTCTCTCTCACTCTCTCTTCTGTCTCTCTCGCTCTCTCTCTCGCTCTCTCTCTCTGTCTCTCTCACTCTCTCTCTCACTCTCTCGCCCTCTCTCTCTCACTCTCTCTCTCTCTAAATGACTCATTCCTCGTGAACAGAGGTAACGGACGCCCTGATGTCCCTAACGTCAACAAAGGGTCCACCACTCTGTTGTTATTGGCAACCGTCATAAACAGAGACAGTTGCTGGAAAGACAGTGTAGCTGCTGTGAAAACACACACACACACACACACACACACACACACACACACACACACACACACACACACACACACACACACACCACAACTCTCTGTGGCAACATCATCACATAATAAACCAACCACAGGATACTAGAGAGGAAAGGTAATCCCTGATACACACACACACACACACACACACACACACACACACATTTACTAAATGAAGTATCCCAGTTAAATGGAAACAAATTACTGTGGAAGAACCAATAAAACTTATTTATTCCTAAAACTGAAAAAGTCTGAGAGACNCACACACACACACACACACACACACACACACACCCGTATCCCAGTTAAATGGAAACAAATTACTGTGGAAGAACCAATAAAACTTATTTATTCCTAAAACTGAAAACTGAATATTTTAACTTGACTTGTGTTAAAGTTTCACAGTTGTACCACAGTATGAAAGATTTCAATGAAAACCAGTTGGTTTATATATCTATATCTATATGTATATCTATATCTATACACCTATATTTGTTTGTGATTAATAATAATTCCTATTAATTTCATGAATTAATTAATCATTAAAAACAACATGGAGCTGGATGAGCAGCAGGAAATGGATGGAAGGATTAAAGAATTAAAAACATAATAACATCAGGTCTGGGACGATGGTACTGGAGATTTTCCAGCCAGTTTTTTGTTAAAATCACATGTAAAACATTGTATAACTGAAGATACTTGAAAAAAAAATTTACTGACAAGGTCATTAAATAACAATAATTGAATTTAATAACAGACCTTGCTCCATTCACCTCACCAGATATCACCAATATACTTTTAATATTTTGTACCGTACGAATGAGGTTCACAGCTGATAGAATCAACAGGTAGAGTCCATTATATCAAAAATCATAATTACAATCATTTAAATGCATTAACATATCATTGGTAAAAATACAATTACAACATCTATGTAAAGAAAACACTGTCAGTTTTTACCTCAAACCATAGTTTGATTTGTTTACATTTATTATAACAAGGTATTAAAATGATTCTAACAGTGTTAAGATTGAATAATCTACTTTATAATAATAATAATTTACTTTATTGATGGTTAAAAATGCAACATGATGCAACTGCTGTCGTCATTTGATGAAGCACTGTTTGTGTAAGGATTCACTCATCGACTTTCTTAGACTCTGTTTATCTGGGGAAAGTAAAAGGATTAGAGTCTGTAGTGAGATGAAGCTTTGACAGACATTTGCACAGTCTGTCGTCCACGAACTGTCCCGTGCTCTCTCCCTCTGTCAGCCAAAACCAAAACAAGCATCCTGCTAAAACACCACATTAAACTGCAGTTTGAAACTAAAAATAGTTCGTTGCTAAGCGAGCCATGTCTATTATTCCTGGGAACAAATGTCATGATATCCACTGTTTTTGTAAAAAACACTGATAATTTTTCTCATTTCTCTTTCTGACACCAGTGTTGTGTTACGCACCTCACACACGTTTCATATAAGGTCAAAAAAACAAACCTGAAGCTGCAGATTCATCCCACGCCACATCCTTTGATGGCTGGACAAGCATTACACGGTCTACTGAGGGAGAAGAGACGAGCCGCAGTAGTAAGAGTAAGAGTCCTGGCGCTGATACAACGGTAATAAAACGGTAATACAACCCCTGACAAAACATTCCCATCACAACAACAGTTTTGGCCTTTTTCGGCGTTTTGGGGAAACACTGACCTTCAGTTAACGGCTGCGAGCACTGCTACATATCATTAAAAATAAATCTCATTTTGCCATCCTGAAGCAAACAAGTTCCCGGTAATGTCTGTTGACATGGCAACGTATCTGAGGCCCTGACTTCTCCCCCGGGTCCACTACAGTCTGCTGGTCCTGATCCTTGTGGGTTTTGCTGCCGCCGCTCTTTGCTCTTCTTGCCCGGCTCGTATGAGTCGTCGTACTTGTTTCTAACTAAGACAACAAGGCAGCTTGTTATTGTTATTGTTAATTATCATCCCAATAAAGATTTGTTTAATGAGTCTATTGTCAGGTTTGTTAATACTACTACACCGTAGCAGCGTGTCGCCCTGTGGCCGACCTTCACATGCCGACTCTCCTAGTTCTGAGTATTTTCCTGGTGTCATGTGTGAACCTGGTCAATCATTTGTTTGTCTGTGTGTCAGGTTCATCGCTGCCTCTCTTCCTGGTTCCTATTTTTGGGTCTTAAATTGTTGCATTGTGTGTATCACAAGATTTAAAGCACTTTTAATATATTTTGATAAAAATACAAATAGAAAATGATAATTGTATGACAGCACTGTTTGCATTGTAACCTAACTAAACAAGCATGTGTGTAGGACCTGATTAAAAATGGAAACACTTGAGGGCGGAGCCTATGTATCATCACTGTGTTAACTCTCAAGACCAGAGAGATTAGTTAAAATGGCTCATTTAAATTTTAAGCATTTATTCCATTATTACTGAGCATTTGCTTCATGTATTTATTTTTGCTTGCGCTGGTAAAATCACCAAAGTGTTTATGAGAGTTCTGTGTCGGTGCACGTAAACCCCAGAACGTATCAGCTGACCTGAAATCTTCAATCGGAATTAAACTAGTATCACCTCCTCGTGGTCGTCGTGCCGCCGCCACTCAGACTAGTTCCAGGTTACACCCCTGTTTATCCAGAACAATAGATAAAATAGATAAAATATGAACCATTTGTGTGACATTTTGTCACAACTGCTGTGTGAAGTCGTGCGTAGTGGCTAATAAGTGCTTTGTAAGGTCACACTGGCCTTGACCTTTGACCTTTGACCACCAAAATGTAACCACTTTGTATCAAATTTGATTGGGGTTCAGCACACGACTCTGGCTCTCTGGTAATTCTCCCAAACTACCCATGTGACTAATTTCAGGTCGTAGTAATACGAACGTCTGATTTGAAAGCACATGACTACAATAACATAGACAGGGACTCTTCACAGAGACCTGCCACTCACGCTCCAAGCTACAAATCTACTGTATGGGACATTACGCAGGAGGACTGGAGGGGCAGCACTGGCTTAATTTAGCTCCAGAGTATCCCAGCGTGTTTGTGCTGGAATGTAAACGATGTACTGAGTGCTGGCTATTCAAACACTTGTCACTGTGTCAACTCAAAAAGGAAAACTTGGCATGGCTTTCTGCAGATTTGTCCCGAAAAGCGAACACTCACAAGCTAGAAAGCAACGACCACGAACATTTAAACAGGAAATCCATCATGATTCAGGCCAGTAAATATTCATAATCACGTACCTGGTCTTTATCTACTGGTGAACGAGCTCCCGGGGATTTCCATCTCAATGGATCCACTTGCACTAAAAACAGAGAGAGAGTAAATAACAGGAAAGATGGCATTAGACACAAACATGATGAATGAGAACACGTCTCCATGGAAACAGGTGGAGTATTTAACAAATGAGCTCCAGAGAATAAAAAGTTAATTAAAAACATTTCAAAATAAAACTCTCTCTGTGTGTTAACTACAACCAACTCTGCTCAGTATTTAAGGACAGTTGGGATGTTGAAGATGAAAAAAAAAAAAAGCCCAGCTGTGTTTGGTCGTTATTACATTTGAAAAATTTTGATGTTAAAGGTTCTTCTTTAGTTTTTGTTGTCTAAAAACAAGACAAAAACTATCCATGACAATTCATATTCAGCCAAAATAAATAAAAAAGAAAAAAAATATAATGCTATAGCTGTCATTGCGTCTGATGCAAGTGTTTGGCGGTAACGTAAAGCAGTCCACAGGCAGCTGTCAGGGTGGACAGGACTGTCTGCAAACAACAACATGAAGCTACAGTGCGCTGGTGTCACGCAGCATGCGGTGCAGTCAGCCGGAGGCTCTGCTGTAAACACGTACCTTGGTGTTATCTTCGCTCCCGCACGGTGCACGTTTCCTTGTCCATCTCTAACGAATCCGAGCAAGACTTCAAGTTTGTGCGACACACAGTGAAGTAAACCGGGATGAGAAAAAAAAAAAAAAAAAAAAAAGAAAAAAAGAATATCCTGTTAAAACTTTCAAAATACAACTCCTACTGTTGACGGTGAAGCGGCCGCACGGACATGAAGTATTATACATCCAAAATATATATATATATACTTATAATGTGTCATAATTAATTATTATCTAAACTGTTAATATCTTTTTTTCTTTTTAATAACTATATAACATGTCACTCTGCTGCTTGAAAGAGTGACACTTCATAAAAGTCTATAAAATCATCACATTTGGACAGCAGAGTCCATCAAACCGGCATGTTTCCTCATATTCATACACTTCCACAGAGGCAGTAAATAGTTGGCCTATGTGTTATTAAAGAATGGTGAGTGATATTATAAATTACTGACACAAAATAATTTATAATTTTGTGTCTAGTACCGGAAAAAGATCTGCGACCAGAGGGCGACAAAACCATGCGAAAAGGTGCTTCGGCGACCGGACGGAACGGTTCTTTCGGTCACGGGGAGGGGGGTCAATAATAATGACGGACCAATATGGCGGCAAAACATTTAGCTAAACAAGTAAACTATAACTTCAAAATCATGCATGTAATTAATCTGTAAGTAAGTATATAATTTCCGTGCGATAATGTTCATATAAATCGTGAAAGTTTGTCAGTGTGTTTGGCAACACATTCAGAGCTGTAACGGCAAATTCATCTGACAACGGACGTAAACGTTAGCTAGCTTAACGTCACAGTTAGAGCCACTGGAAACACGTTAGTTAGCTGGTTAGCACAGTTAAATATGTGGGGCGAAATTGAACCCCCTGCTAAAACACAACCGAGTTCATTTGAGAGTGAAAACGAGAGCGAATTAACAGAAGAACCGGTGACACGCACCCAGAGATGTGACTTCAGCAGCCCCGCAGACACCGAGCAGCCGCCGCAGGACACCGCGGTGAGAGCAGCAGCAGCAGCACTAGCACCGGCGGTTTGTAATTAGCGTCTTATGCAAATATCTGCTCGCCGCGCTCCGCTGTTGTTGGCATGGCAGTCATTATTCTGTTTTACTCATTCAGTACGTGAGCAAGGCTGAGTCCACTTGTGTAAACGCCATGGTAGAAGCCATAGCCATGAGCGGGAGCCTGGTGAAGAGCCAGCAGATAGGAGAGGCTGAACTGACCCTGCAGCAGCGCAAAGAGGAGCTACTGCACCAGTACAGGACCAAGCCGCTGGTTTTCCTGGAGCGGTACCATGTATGTGTACACGGCTCTATGTGTTTACTTGCCCACATACTGTACATGGCTACAAAAGGAAACCTAGGTACACTGCTTAGTAACTGAAGTGTAAAACCTTTGTATTCTGACATTAAGAGACATGCATTAATTACAGGCAAATACAATCAGAAGTAGGTCCAAAACAGTTACTGTTCAACAGGGTTAAAATGCTGGTAGTTGCATCAAAACATATTTTCAGCTTGTAAAGTTAATCCTTACCCTCAAAGTTATCTCTGGCTATTTCAGGATTGTGAATAGAGGTGTCTTCTTGTTGCATGCAGCTGTGGCTTACTGTCCCGGTGGAGAGAGCTGCAGTGACAGTTTCTGTGTTCACTATGACAAATTTATCCAAGATATTATCACATTTCAACAAGTCTTTTTGGTTGTGATTTTAAAATGATATATTACTTCAGTTACTACATCAAGAGGAAAGAAATTCAGCATACTACCAACATAACCCAAATACAATATAGGTTATTGTGTTAAACACTATCTACTCTCCCTCATTGCCAGGCCTGTCTGAAGCCCCAGGACCTGTCAGCGTTTGCCCACGTCATCTCAGACCCACGAACCCATCACTACAGCATAGTGATACAGAGACGAGCTGCCGCATGCACCAACAGGACCAGGGTCCGAAACCAGCGCTACGCTGCCCTCAGGGCGCTGCAGAAGGGTACGGGCTCCACTTGCCTCTGGTGGTATTATGCAGATAGTTTTGGTTTTACATATTCACGGCTGAAATATCTGCTGCCACCTCAACAATCACTGGTAGTCTTGTAGTATACACTGTATATCTCCTAACTTACATTAACTGTGTGTTCAACTGAAACTTGTGTTTTTTCTTCTCAACTTTTCATTCCTCCACTCTACCTCGTCTCCTAGAGGGTCAGTATTTCAGTGAGGAGCAGATGCGAATCAGGGAGCCGCTGTTGTATGAACAGTATATTGGCCAATACCTGACTGATGAGGAGGCGAGTTTCATTTCATAATTTACAGCTCAGTTTAGTTTTAAAAAGGCTTTTCTCTACATTTGTCTTGGGGGGACCTTCTGGCTAATTTCATGAATGCTTTAGGTGCTGGAGCGCTCGCAGGAGGCCATGTTGGACGGTGCACAAGGGGGGGAAGGAGCACCAGCAGGAGGCACAGGAGGGCTCGCCCACCTCCTCCTGAACTCCTACCAGGAGCGTCTCATCCAGAGTCGTCTGCAGGAGGAGCAGGAGAGAGAGGACTGCCAACAAGAGGAGGACGAGGATGAGGAAGATGATGGTGAGAGGGGGTTACGGGTGGTGCTGAAGATACTCTCACTGCTTTCATCTCCGTGCCTTTTGTCAGCATGTCTCTCTCTCTCTCTCTCTGTCTCTGTCTCTCTCTGCTCAAACTGAAGACAATAGAGTCCAGGAGAAGGAATGGGAGCCCACCCCCGAGGAGAAGGCTCTGCTCAGGGAGGAGTTCATCAGTCAGATGCACCAGCGCTTCCTAGATGGCAAAGACAAAGACTTCAACTACAGGTCAGCCACAATACCACCACCACCACCACCACCACCACCATACACTAAACAGACACTAGGTGGTGCACTATCAAGCTTAGAGCTAATTCAGGCGGATCAAACAATTGACAGTCAAGTACTAGTATGAATAAAACATCTAATAAATCCTGATCAGGACATCTGAGGCTGTTAAAGAAGAAAAAGTTTGATCGAAGCAAGATTAAAAAACAGAATTGTAATTAGGTGAAATGTTAAATTGGTTCTTATAATAATACAATGTAGTTGAAATACAACATAGTAACTACGAGTGAATTAATGATGTTCTGAAAGTTCTGATTCAAAGACCAGAGATGAAATTATAATAAAAATCCTACACACTGGCTGGTGAAGGGATTATTGTAAGTGTTTGTGTTTGTGTCTGTTACAGCGAGGTGGATGAGAACCCAGACTACGACAACTTGGACATTGTCAGCAGAGACGCAGAGGATAAATACTTTGATGAAGATGATGATGAGGAGGAGGAAGAAGAAGATATGACAGAGTAGCAGCTGTAGCAGTGGTTAACCTCTCAGATTGATCTGTAAATACAAATGTACAAAATAAGGACATGTATTGTGTTTTTTTAGTGTTTGTTACACCTGGATGCAAACATGGTAATAAATATACTGACTTTCGGTATTTCGTAATTTGAGACATTGATTGGCAGCTGGATTCAGGGCGCAGCTCTCCCACACTGCACCTGGGGTTCTCCGCAGCCTGAGACGTGTCTTGCTTTGAGGTAAGATGCTTTACTATTGATCACTGTGTTTGCCAAGTACACCAGCTCCATTATCTGGGAAGGGCATACTTCATGTTGTTTGCAGCTGTGCAGAGCACTTCTGTTCTCATTTATAATTCATAACTGTCCACATACTTATGGTCTGGAGTGAATCTTCAGTTTTTAGGTTAATATATGAACTCAAATCATTTTCACTGATGTGTAAACAAACAGATGTAAGATCAGCCAAGTAACAGAGCCAGTAAATTATAAAGATATTCCAAAACATTTTAATATTGACATCAGTGACTGTTGATTCGTGTCCTTGTCATGTGTAATGAAACAATATACTTCTTATTGTTACCAGACGTTGAGTCAGGTTTTCTCATAAAACATAAAAGCGTGACTCTGTTGATACACTAGTTTACTTATCTTTTTCAGAGTCAGAACACACCCATTTCTCTTTTCAAATGTTCATCATCCTCATCCCAGTGTTGTAGTGTTTTCTGCAGAATAGGAAACAAATCTGCAAAGTGTTCAGCTCTAGAAAACAACACAACAGCACAGGTGGTGCTCAGGCAAAGACATGCACACACGTTCCACAGAAAGGTGTGTTGGGATTTCCTGCCGACGACTCACCACTTGCTTTTGAGTTAACAGCAAGCACCGCCCACTGAGGGAGGGGCACACACAGGGGGACATGATGAAGATGAAGCACACAACCGGCAGAGGAGGACAGGAAGTAACTTTTGGACCATCATTTTGTTTTTTAGTTCATCATGGTGAGAAAGAGAGAGAGAGAGAACCCAAGGACAACACAACAAAGACCCATCATCCTTCCTTTATGTAAACAGAACAGCTCTGATGCAGCCGTCCAGGTAAGTCAGTCATATCGTTCTACAATTGGATTCATATAAAAAACACAATGTGCAGCATCATCAATAAAACCAACAATAATATATTGTAAATATATATTTGTAAGTATGAAGAAAACCGTTTCACTGCTGATGGATACAGAGCCACAGCTTCTTGCCAGACAGTATCAAATGCTTTTTGTGAATTCATTAAAATCACATGACATACTGTCTTTTGAGGTGGAGCAGTAAACCGTAAACTCCATGATCCCTGAGTAACCTGTCATTTATAATAAAGCCATACGTGTGAATTTATGAATGCTTGTCCCACTTCATCCATAAATGACTGTCAACTTAAACTCACATAAACAACTTTACTTTCTAAATTCCTGAATTTTCAGAGTGTAATATTCCTCTTGTAGTTTTAAAACTTTCATTTGCATTTTTATTTTCTCTCGCTTTAATTGATCAAGATCCAGTGTGTCCAGATTAATGCTAGCGGAGCGTCTAGAGGACGGACCCCCCTCCTTGTCTGAGGCTCGGGCTGTTTGCGGATCTCTGTGGAAGAAAAATATTTTATGGCCATGAGTATCAATTAAGCATCTTGGTTCATCCAAATAACGTGATTATTAGACATTACCTTGTGTGTAATTGTGCCTCATCACGGCCGCAGGTTGTGGCTCCTGTGTGAGCCGGGTCATCAACCGGCGCTCTCGGAGGTTTAGTGGAATCTCCTGCACGGGTGGTCGAAACCATTTATTGAAAATTCTAATTTAAGACAAAAAAGACATAAAAACAGATAATATATATGTTCTCTGAACTACTCACTCGTTGCTTCTGTGCTTTCGTCCTGTGTGGTCGCTGTGTTTGAGGTTGCGTCTCTGACGTTTACAGTTGCAGAGGGTTGAACGTCGGCTTCAGAGCTTGACACGTCAAGATGCTCTTTTCTTTTCTGTTCTTCCTCCTTTTTCCCACAATGCTCTGCTTCCAACAAGGAGACAAAAATGTCAATTAAACAAAAAAAAAAATATTAAAACAAATCCTTGACATCTTTCAACCATTTTACCACAGAAGGAACTGAATCTTCATGTAATGCCAACCTATCATGTCGCTAGCAAAACCTGTTTGTGTCACAGTGACAGCGGAGGCTCTGGTGTTGGCAGTGTGATCGCTGATGGATGGATGTCTACAGGTTTATTAACTGTCAGGTTTGGACAAAGTAGCTGATGCAGATCTTGGAGAATTTCCCGTTTCAGTCTTGGTTTCTGTCTGTCCACCTTTTCCTTTATCTCTTTTACCTCTTTCTTCCTGAATACCTGACATCTGGCAGGTGTCAGTTTGTATGGCTGCTGTGATGTAAGGGTCGTCTATTGCTGAACCGTTGTGCCATATCTCCTCTTCACTCTGTGTTCCCTCATCCAGCGGCTGACACCAACTCTCTGTTCACAAACGACGAGTTGCTGGAGTTACAAAGTGGAGTTACTGTAGTTTCTAAATCAGACTGATTTAATTACACACTACAGTATCCTCTGGTGGCTTAAGTTGGACAAATAACATATACAGACCTTGTGAATGCTGTGTGCAGCTGGACTGTTGGTCACTCTCGGTCTGAAACAGAGCACATACACAATCACCAACCGAGCAGGCGGGGGGCGTAAACGGAACAAAAGTGATGTGTTTTAAAACTAAAACCAATGTGGACAAAGTTTTTTTTTGTGAGTTTTGAGTTGAGTCAGACGCTGAGTTGAGCACAAACACACAGATACACTCCCATTAACACAGTCAGCACATCTGCTGCAAGCTGTTAGGGGCATGTATTAACAGCTGGACACAGCACCTCCATTTAGCCTACTTGTCCTGTGGCCTCTTGCAGTATTGCAATGAAAAAACATTTTCCCCATAGACATAATAATAATAATAATAGTAATTATAATAATAATAATTATAATAATAAACTTTGTATAGCAACTGTCATATTAGAAATGTTGCACAAAGTGATTTACATCAAAGAAATGACCTGCACCTCCACATGAAAAGAAAACTCTTTTGTGTTATTAATTTTTAATTCACGGGGGTTTTATATTTCTAAAGTCCAGTATCCAGTTCTTATAATACATCCACCGTCGGGACAAACAGTCCAGCAGACAAACTTTCATGACTGGTGCGAAGCCAAAGTCTTCCTCTTCCTGTCTGAATGCACCTTCAGTCTGTACTTAGACACACATGCTCTGTGCTAAAAGCTAACATTAGCATGCTAACATGCCCAAAATGGCAAAGTTATAACATGTATATTTACCATGTTCACCATCTTAGTATGTTGTATTAGCATGCTAACATTAGCTAAACTTTAGTTAGCATGCTAAACAACAGCTGAACTAGTTGTTTAACTAAAGCTTTGAAGTGACTGTGGCAGTGATTTCAGTAAGTAAGTAAGTTACTTCAGTTCATCCTGAGAGGAACATTCATGGTGTAAAAAGCTTTCGAGGTGTTTTTGAGTCGTAATCCAAAGAAAGAAAGAATTTCTCTCCATCTCACCTTTCCGAGCCTCTTCAGGACAACTACAGCTGGCTGCAGAGCACTTCTCGCAGATGTTGAAATGATCAAATGTGTTTCCGTTTCTGAAAGAAGAAGAGTGATATTCATACGTTCACAAAAGAAGTGGCTCAGTAGCCTAACGTGCCAACATTAATGTCAATCATCGTGCTTCTACAGATTCCTGTGGGAAACGTCACCTTCAAAAACGATGGCATTACCGTTATCAGTAACAGCCTCATCTTCAGCTTCTCCCTCCATCTCATCTTCCTCTTCTTTACTCTTTACAACCTCTCTTCCATCTTCAGCCCCTTCCTCCTCCTCCTCCTCTTCTTCCTCTCCCTTCTCTAGCTCCAGCACCAGTTCTTCCCTGCTCGGAAACCAGTCTTCGTCTTGAACATCATCTTCCTCCGTTTCTTCTTCAGATTGTATTTCTATTACTTTGACAGAGATACGTTAATATCTTAATTACTACTTTGTAATAAAATGAATAATCGTAAGTTGGCATGCACTCTGCTTCGGGTTTAATTCAATTTCTGGTTTGAGTTGCAGAAACAAGAACGTGAAGACAAACCTTCAGAGGAGCTTTCTGAATCTGAAATTGACAACAGGATTTTCTTTGGCTGGAGAAATAAAGAAAAAAATCTTATAACATAGTATCATAGAGTATAGTTTATAGTAGACATAGAGTATGATACATTTCTTTTATAAATCAATATCTTATTCAAAAGTTAAGTTACCTTCGGGGTGTCAGATCTTCTCCTGTTATATCCCTGAGTGGTTAATATTCCTTTCTGTGATAATGGTGATTATTAGTTATTTAGTGTTGGTTGTGATTAAATAAAAGAAATGAGAAATAAAGAAACAAACAAAAGACAAAAAGAAAAAAGTCTTACGTCAAACAAAATTTGCAGAGGTTCGTCTTCATGGAAAATGGTTGATTTCCATTTTTTACTGAAGCCTTTACCTGCAAAGTCCTCGAAGGCAGGCGGAGAAAACCAGCGGCTTTCACACTGAATACAGTCCTCACCTGAACAGAGCGTCGCCGCCCAGCAACACAAAATTACAAACAAAAAGAGAAGAGGATGAAGGAATAAAGAAATTAAAAACATTTTTTGTTTTAAAAGTTAAGATGTTAACTTTAAAGTATTAGTTTGTGCTCACTCCTGCCCAGCTTCTCTACGTCCAGGACGCCCTCTTTGCCTCCACAGGTCACATGCATGCCTACATTTAGCAGAAATTGACATAAGTGCACGATACAGGTGTTGCACACACACAGCTGACTTTCAGGATATTCATTAGCAGATCTCTACAAGATTACACCACAGATTCTGCTGAGAAAACACATTCGAAAAAGAAAATGGAGGCTGTAAAGACTCACCATTTACTTGTGGCCTCTGGTTGTGGGTGCTCTGGGTAGATGGGCCCAGCTGCTCGTTGTGTTCCTCATCTTCATCCTCCTCTTCTTCCTCCCTACCTCCTTCATCAGCATAATGATCTTCAATGTAACTGATTCTCTTTCTTTTCCTCTGGCTATTTCTCCTGCCCCTGCCGTTGTTTTCCTTTTCTCTTTCTTCTTCATCATCACTAATGATCCTATTTCTCGTCTTCATTTGGTCGTCTTTAAAGAAACACACACAGCTGTTAGTTGAGTTGTTACTCTGTGCTGAAAGGCCTTTGCACCTGGACAAACTGTGAACGTTTACCTGAGAAGCAAACGCTCAAAAACAAACGAACGGAGGAACATTTTTGCTCTGAAAACTGTTTTTTTTTTGTCCGCTAAGCTCTTCAAGCTGCTTGACTCCAACACCAGTTTTTTGATTTTACCTTTTTTTCTTACAATTGTTCTTTGGTTTTTCTTTTTTGATGTTTTTGTTGTGCTTCAGCCATCCCTTGCAAACCTGTCCTCCCAGTGGTACGGTTTGCGTGTAGTTCATAAAACACAGTCATTTGCTATATAATTTACTATTACCATAATTATTAATATTATTATTACTGTTGTTGTTGTTGTTGTTGCCATAGTACACAGATGTGTGTACCCAATTCATCATTAGTGACACCATCTCTCCATCTGTAATCAATAGATCTCACACACACACACTCACTCACTTAAATGTAAATGTGTGTTACACTGTTTATCTGTGTGAAATGCGATATTCCTGTTATACACCATGTATACACAGCTACACTATGTAACTCTCCACCTTCTTTTCCACTTAATAAATTACAGTCCCATGTGTTAAATCCAGACATTGGTCACAGCTCCTCGGGGGAATCTTACTTCTCGGTATTTCTTTGTTTTTAAGTTCGACAGCTTCGCGGGACAAATTCAAACCGCGGGAATCGTGTAATTTCTCGAGGAAGTTTCGTAAAGAAAGCGCCTTTTTTTTTAAAAAACAAAAACAAAAAAGAAAACAGAAAGTGGACCAATCGCTGTGTAGATGACTCACGCTGCGGTATTAACTAACTACACGAAACCAGTTAGCGGCCGCGAGAGGAGGCGGAAACGGAACCGGTCAGAAGAAGAGAGGAGATTAAACCCGCCACAATTTACTTCACTCATCTCCTGAAGTTGTTCCTTTTAATCTCTATGACTTTGACTTCTGAAGATCTAATGACAAACAATCTGATCGTGGCGTGTTTCATAACGTGGATTATTCAACATGCAGCGTACAGAGAGAGACATTATTTCAAACGAGGGGAACTTCTCCTGGATGCCACGTCTGATCGGGAAAGTAGAATAATAAGTCAGTAATTTCTTATGTAGGCTCTATTGTTCACAGTACACTGCAGTTTTCATCCATTATGCAATAGCAACAAGTCCATCCCTGGCTGCTGCAGACCTGTGCAGGTTTATGTGTGTTTATTATGTCCATGTAGAATTGTTTCACAAAACTGCATGAAACCACAAAATCGATAACAACAGATAAAATCAATGACTTACCTCTGCTGCCCCTTAACCCAGGAAATGAAACTGAAACTCTGAGCAGCAGACACGCCCACAACATGACTGAATGAGGAGGGGCTTCAGCTGACTGTTCTCAAGTTATTGTGATCGAATCATCACAAAAACAAACAAACCAAAAAAAAACAGGCAAAACAACCACACTTGGGAGAATTAGCATTTATTTCTAACGGATATCAGAAACATGAATATATGTGTGGAACAAATGCCAAAACATTTTTCAAAATGTGAGAGAAAGTCAAAATACTGACTAATGAACAATCAGTTGATCAGTTATTGTCAAGAGTAATCAGTCGTCAACCATTAATAAATGAGCAATCAATTATAAGGAGATTAAATTAGTTAGAGGCCAGAATGAACTGTGTCTTCAAACCAATTTAAACTGTAATAAAAGAAAGAGTAAAGCATCACATGGTTCAATCTCTAATCTATTAGAATAGAATGAGAGGAAAAGATGAAATATCACATTAGATGTCTCGTATTATGTTGTGCCAAATGAACAGCTGTAATGGAGCATGAGGAAACAGAATAAAAGCGTTCAGCAGATTAAAAGCATTGATCAATCATTTATAACAAGTCAAACAGGAAAACATCGATTTCAGATTATACGTCAGGTCAGAGAAAAGTCAAATGAGGTCTAGAACCGTTCTCAGACAGATAGTTTCCCCTGATAACTGTCAAACTATCATCTACCATTGGTTCAGACCTGTACACAGTACGTGACCCTGAACCCTCCACCTCACCCCCCTCCTCATTTGTTCACCCAACCCCCTCCTAAAATGAGGATGACTGTAGTTTTGCAGAGGTGGAGTCTGAAGGTCAAGGCTTTCTTTCTCACATTAACAGTCGGCCACATTTTTGGATATTACTACAAGATTATGACAAATAATCTATAACCAATAAAAAATGCTAATACATTGGAATATAATGTTTTATAAACAATAATAATGTTTTATCATCAATACATTCAGAAAGGATATTTTATTAAGTCTTATTCACAGAGGAACAAGAAAGCTAAAAGAACTTATTCAGTATTCAGGTATTGTTCTGAATAATGTTGGAAAACCCTTAAAGAAAATCCAAGTGATTATTACCACAATCAGCCCCACAGCTGCTGCCGGATGAACAGCAAAACCAGTAATCAGTACAACCACTGCTAACACTAACAGTGACAGGAGCAGGTATATGCCCTGATTCTCTGCAGCCAGTCTTGCTGCTGCCTCCTCTTTTCTCCACAGAGCCTTCCTCATTTCCTCCAGCTCCTCCCCCTTATAACGCTGCTCCAGCTGCTTCTCCTTGTTGGCGATTTCCTTTTCTTTCTCCTTCAGGATTCTCTCCTGTCTTTTCCTGATGTTCCTCTCTTTTGTGGGATACAGCTCTTTGTGGTAATGTTTCCCTCCATTCAGGGCAACCAGGGTCTGGATCTTTGCCATGAAGCCGGTCACCTGGTCCAGGTCCTCTGGGTTTTTGTTGTTGAAGACATGGAAGCCGCCACTACACTTGCGTATGAAGTTGCGGAGGTTGTCATCGCTCTCAGTGATGATGTCATTTATTGTTTTTCCTTGCAGACGATCCCCGTGGGTGAACAGCACGATGGTGTAGTCCCACACTCTCGGGCCAAACATTGTTTGGATCAGAGAGATGGTATTTTGATCTTCCTGAGTCAGCCTTCCTAAAGGGACTACATATACGAAGGCGTGAGGTCCTGGTTCAAGGAATCTGACAGACTGCAGAATCTTTCGAATTATTTCTTTCTGGTCGTTGTCCTTCTCAAAAAGCCCTGGTGTGTCGATCACAGTAACAGGCACTTCTTCAACTTCAGCATCATCCTTTTCACAATGTCGAGTGACTCTCGTCAGCTTCATGTCGGATTTAAACACCTGTTTACCGAGGATTGTGTTCCCGCTCGAGCTCTTGCCTGCTCCACTCTTCCCAAGAAGCATGATCCTCCGGGGCTTTACCTCTGTCAATCCAACAAATGAGAAACATTTCATTACACATTAGTTTTTGTTCTTAAATACTGTTCAACATTTGTTGCTGTTGGTAGAATACAGTACGGGTCAATACACTGGATGTGGTGGAGTATATGCTATAACTGTCTATAACTGAGACAAAAGCAAGACATGAACCTAAGGTACCTGATCTTTAGATAAATTAATGTCTTTTACCTCCTTTAACTTCAGAGCTTTAGTCTTGGAAACAAAAAAACTCCTCAGTTAAACCATGTTTCTTGTTTCTGACCTGGCTGCAGCTGCTCAACACGTAGGACATGGAGTCCTGTGTCACTGCCTTTAGCTTTCTTTTCTCTGTGATTAGATGAAGTAAGTAGTTGGTGGCTACGGTTGTCCCATGAAAGATCAGCAGATTTTAAACCAATGCAACAGTTTAATTTCAGAATATATAAGTTATTGTGTTCAGTATTCCCAGAAGGTTTTTCTCTGTATGGACAGCTAAAAGCTTAACCAAAACAGCAGATAATTGTAGGAGATGATAAATATAATGAACTTATATAAATATAAGAGGGATTAAAGTTCATTTTCACACTTACCTTTTTCCCCATCCTTTTGTTCTGGACCAGGCATGCTGTCAGGGTTCATGGCAGAAGCAGATAAAGCTGCTGTGTTATCACCAAAGCTGCTAAACATAGTGTCAGTGTTAGCAGTAGCTTCTGGCTAACAGCTAACTGGTCCTCAGTGTATTTACTCTAAAGTCTGACTGGTCTTTGTGAAGTTTCGTTGTTCTGATCGGTTCTCTCCTCAGCTCTCTTCCTGCTGCTGTGTAGCTGTTGGGAAACACGTGTTATAACCAGTAGACTGAAAGTGAAAGTGTGAGCAGTGAATTACACAAGTGCAGGACACTGATCCTGTAGCTCAAGTTTCACATGTTTAAAGGTCTAAATATCTTTCCTAGAGGACGGTTAGAGGCATGAAAGTATTGAACAGTAAAACTTTTATTTTTATTTGTGATGATTTAAAGTGCTTTGATGGTGAAAATGAATTCATTCTTTTGCATTGGCTGTGAACTGATGTGAATGTATATAACACTTTGATCATGAAACAGCCTTTGAGTTGTTGGTTTCTTGTGACAGACGGCAGATGAAAACAACAGGGAAACTCTTTAAACTTGGTGACTGTGTTACTTTGTGCCACTGCTGAAGACCTCAAAGGTGCAGGAAAACTTTAGCTGTCCAACAACCAAGTGGATAAAAAGTAGGTAAAAAGTACCATCTAGTGGACAATATATTTTATTTAAAGCTGTCCTGATGTAGAGCGCAATAATGGGTTCAGTAACTAATAGATATTTACTCAGTTACTTTACAATAGGTGTCCATCTCCTGGAGGGACGGCATTTCCCCTCTAAACTACTTAGATAGCTTTATTTAAATAAGGAGGTCACATTGTCCAATATTTCCCAACAAAACCAAACGACAGAGAAAAGTCCAAAACAAATCAACACAGATTGATAAGCAGAAGTTTTTTTCTTTCTTCTATCTTACATTAATCATCTCATCACCCTCCACATTTATCTTCTGACCCCCTTAAAGAAAATCCAAGTGATTATTACCACAATCAGCCCCACAGTTTCTGTCGGACGAACAGCTAAACCAGTAATCAGTACAACCACTGCTAACAGTGACAGGAGCAGGTATATGCCCTGATTCTCTGCAGCCAGTCTTGCTGCTGCCTCCTCTTTTCTCCACAGAGCCTTCCTCATTTCCTCCAGCTCCTCCCCCTTATAACGCTGCTCCAGCTGCTTCTCCTTGTTGGCGATTTCCTTTTCTTTCTCCTTCAGGATGCTCTCCTGTTTTTCCCTGATGTTCCTCTCTTTTGTGGGATACAGCTCTTTGTGGTAATGTTTCCCTCCATTCAGGGCAACCAGGGTCTGGATCTTTGCCATGAAGCCGGTCACCTGGTCCAGGTCCTCTGGGTTTTTGTTGTTGAAGACATGGAAGCCGCCACTACACTTGCGTATGAAGTTGCGGAGGTTGTCATCGCTCTCAGTGATGATGTCATTTATTGTTTTTCCTTGCAGACGATCCCCGTGGGTGAACAGCACGATGGTGTAGTCCCACACTCTCGGGCCAAACATTGTTTGGATCAGAGAGATGGTATTTTGATCTTCCTGAGTCAGCCTTCCTAAAGGGACTACATATACGAAGGCGTGAGGTCCTGGTTCAAGGAATCTGACAGACTGCAGAATCTTTCGAATTATTTCTTTCTGGTCGTTGTCCTTCTCAAAAAGCCCTGGTGTGTCGATCACAGTAACAGGCACTTCTTCAACTTCAGCATCATCCTTTTCACAATGTAGAGTGATTCTCGTCAGCTTCATGTCGGATTTAAATGCCTTTTTACCGAGGATTGTGTTCCCGCTCGAGCTCTTGCCTGCTCCACTCTTCCCAAGAAGCATGATCCTCCGGGGCTTTACCTCTGTCAATCCAACGAATGAGAAACATTTCATTACACATTAGTTTTTGTTCTTAAATACTGTTCAACATTTGTTGCTGTTGGTAGAATACAGTACGGGTCAATACACTGGATGTGGTGCCCAGTGCAGTATATGGTGGAGTATATGCTATAACTTGGTGTTTTAACCCTTTGAAAGTCGTATATGGTACGTTTTCCTAAATTACCTGGCTGGTTTGTTTTTTTCTTGTTTTTTTTAATTGTTGTGATGAAAATATTTCAGCATGTCACGTTCCAGTTTTTCCTTAGAAGTGTAAGTTTTCACTAAAGTCTGAACTCTAAGACAAAAAGAGTAATATCTTACTGTAATATTTGTTACTTTAATAATTTGATGATAGGTATACCTTTAATAACCCTATCATGATTGATGACAAACTATTCATAATTTTAAACTTCCATGTTGGTATGTTTTTTCATTTTTGAAACTTGTGTTGGTTTTGTATTTCTCCCAACAAGTCCTCCAATCTAAACAACCATATAGGTCATTTTTTTAAACAACCATATAGGTCGTTTTTTCAATGCTCTCATACGACCCATAGGAGTGTCTCCTGAAATAGCGCCCCTACGGCGGCAGGCGTACCGGACCTCGGTTGTCATGGTTACCAAGATAAACACGCGACTACGGAACGTTTCCGTGGTTACTATGATAACGGTCCTGGCTTGGTTAGGTTTAGGCACTAAAACTTCTTGGTCAGGGTTTAGGAAAAGATCATGATGTGGGTTAAAATAAGTACTTCCTCAACTTCAGATGATCTTTGTTGTCATGGTTACAATAATAACAACACCGATGTCCTGAGTCATATTCCTGTGTTTTGTTGACCCATTCATCCACCACATCTACCTCCTATCATGGACTTTGTCTCCTTTATACTACGTCACCGCAGTTTTCCCGTTGGTCCTGTCGTAATTACTGCGACCACTAACTACAAAACGTAACTATGGGTCATAATAAGCTGCTGCACAGACGACCTGTGGGCTCGTTTAAAAATGTGTTAAAATTGACCCATGAATGTTACAGATCTTCAGTAATTCTTGTGTGAAATTCAAATACTTAGTATGTACAAGATTACGAAGACAACATATATTAATTATTAACAAAAGCTATTGACTCTAATAAAATCCAGTGTTGACCTACTTACAGAGGAGTTCTAATGGTGTATATCTATGGGACTGTAAAGTATGTGTTTATAAAGGTTATTATGTAGAATTAACAATACTTTACTTTGCCAGATTAAGATGTTTATACTCCAAATCTCATTTTACATATGCACAGGAAAGCAGAAGAATAATACCACCAGGTGTGACTATAACTGAGACAAAAGCGAGACATGAATCTAAGGTACCTGATCATTAGATAAATTAATGTCTTTTACCTCCTTTAACTTCAGAGCTTTAGTCTTGAAAACAAAAACACTCCTCAGTTAAAACACACTTCTTGTCTCTGACCTGGCTGCAGCTGCTCAACCTGTATGACAAGAATTGCTGTGACATTGCCTTTAGCTTTCTTCCTCATCCAAAAATAACTCCTGTGATTAGATGAAGTAAGTAGTTGGTGGCTACGGTTGTCCCATGAAAGATCAGCAGATTTTAAACCAATGCAACAGTTTAATTTCAGAATATATAAGTTATTGTGTTCAGTATTCCCAGAAGGTTTTTCTCTGTATGGACAGCTAAAAGCTTAACCAAAACAGCAGATAATTGTAGGAGATGATAAATATAATGAACTTATATAAATATAAGAGGGATTAAAGTTCATTTTCACACTTACCTTTTTCCCCATCCTTTTGTTCTGGACCAGGCATGCTGTCAGGGTTCATGGCAGAAGCAGATAAAGCTGCTGTGTTATCACCAAAGCTGCTAAACATAGTGTCAGTGTTAGCAGTAGCTTCTGGCTAACAGCTAACTGGTCCTCAGTGTATTTACTCTAAAGTCTGACTGGTCTTTGTGAAGTTTCGTTGTTCTGATCGGTTCTCTCCTCAGCTCTCTTCCTGCTGCTGTGTAGCTGTTGGGAAACAGCAGAAGAGACTGAAAGTGAAGGTGTGACCAGTGAATATCACAAGGGCAGGACACTGATCCTGTAGTTTAAGTTTCACAGGTTCAATGGTCAAAATCTTTTTCCTAGAAGATGATTAGTGGAATAAAAGTATTGAACAGTAAAACTTTAACTTTAAATAGCGATGATTTAAAATGCTTTGATGGTTAAAAATGAATGCATTCTTTTGCATCGGCTGTGAACTGATGTGAACCAAATGAAAGCTACATACTGTAACTACATACTGAGTCTAATCATCGTCTGTGTTCAGACTGTGGCTCTTTCACTGCAGTGAATTCATACATGTATATCAAACTTTGGTCATGAAACAGCCTTTGAGTTGTTGATGCATTGTGACAAATGACAGGGAAACTATTTACACCTATGGTTATTGAAGATGTGTGAAAACTTCAGCCGACAAAGAACCAAGTGGATAAAAGTAGATAAAAAGCCCCCTCTAGTGGCCGATATGTTTGGTTCAGTTTCTCGTCGACATTTACTCAATCACTGCATTTAGGTACAACTTTCAGGTTTGAGTACTGTACCTGAGTATTTCCATTTTAAGTATTTCAACGTCATCAGGCTTGAGCCATGGAGTCATGTCAACAGGTGTCAGTTATTACAACTTAACTGGCTCCCAGTTAGTTTAATGGACAGAAGTGCTCCTAGCTACTTTTCAAATTATTTTAAGATGGTGGGAGGAACTCATAGTCACATTACCAGAGGCAGTGCAGCAAATTTAAATCTTCACAGATTCAGGACTGAGGTGGGCGAGGATTACTCTGTATTCTGGGGCCTGGAAGGGAATAAAGTTGTTCTATAGTCTGTTCTTGAGATTCAGTCGTCTATGTTTGTGCTTATTTTGTGATATTTCTTAATGTCTGACATTGTGTCTCTATCTTGTACAAAGGTTAATGGAGTGTGAAAACACCAGGGACAACAATGGCAATAAGTCCAGGACTTCACATCGTTCACAGGGCCAGGTACTTTTACTTCTGATACTTGATGTACATTTAGCTGATAATGGTACTGGTACTTTTACAAAAGGATATGAGTATTTTTTTCTTCCACTACTCATTTTATTATGAAATGTTCTAAATAATATACTCTACAGAAATAAGTGGTAAACATGGTAACAATTCCTAATTAGGTTTCTTAAGGTTTTGCCCCAAGCAGAAGGTGAAACAATTCCAGTCTTCTTTTAATAAAAGAAAATGAGATCTCATTCATTTTATTTTGTTCTTTTACTTTGTTTCTAACAATAAAAATCTTTCCAGTGTAGCTCACCCAGACAAAATCATATTAACTGAGCATTTGAGGAGAATGTTTTTATTGGATGTGAGTGCAGCAACTCTAATGCACTTAAATGTAAAGCGTGTTGACAATAACACACCATTTCACTTATCCTTCACTCAGAAAAGTGAGCAGTTCGTATGATTGTATTTCCATTATGATTGTTTGAGTATCAGACCATTTTCATAATCATGATCTCAGGATGGGAAAAAGGTTAAAGAGCCGCTGTCTTCCAGCCTTTCACCTGACATCACTTCCGATCAGCCAGTCTCTGCAGGAGGGCAATGACTGTGTCCTGTTTGGAGGAGAGCAGCTCCAGGGCTGTGGCTATCCTGCCGAGGGACTCTGCCATCCGCACCTCCCTCCTCTCGCGCCTCTTCTCTCTGGCTTCCACCCTGCGGCGAGCGACTCGATCCAGGTAGGCCTGCTCCTCCTGTCGCTTCAGAATCTCCTGGAGCAAAACAGCGCTGCTCTGCTCCTCGCTTCCTTTCTGGTTCGGGCCTTCGGTTCCTGAAATTGTCTTTGCTGATAACGAGGTGGCAGCGGAAGAAGTGAGACAGGAGGACGTCGGGGAGAAAGAGGAGGAGAGGCCGAGGATTTTCTGACTGTTGCTAACTGGCGCCGCACTAAGACGAAAAGGGATGACACCTGATGAGAAGGAAGGAGCTTTGCGGCTTCCGTAGCGTGATGTGTTGAGGTCTGTGTTACTGGTGGCGCCGAGGGAAGGAGACGTGGAGGCTGTTTCTGTAAAACAAGGTGACGAGATAAAAGACGGAGATGGCACAATGGTGGCTGGATGAATACCGGTGGTAACAATGTCACCGTTGAGGACGATCAGGGGCTTGACCTCTGGGGTATTTGTTGGGCTAACGGTCGCTGTAGTCACTGAGGTCATGGTAGGAGTGCTACTGATGATTTGACTGGTGGCGGCTCCCTGACCTACCGACTCCAAACCACCAGTCACAGTAAAGTCACCGTTGGGGCGGATGATGGTGGGGGGCTGCGGAAGCTGTGGTTTCGCTGCAATTTTAGCCAAAGGACAAGGCAGCGCGGAAACGGTGCTGCCACCTTTGTTTCTTTTGTTGTTGATGATCTGAGTGCCGACGGTGTCGCACAGCGTGGCATCCATCAGCTACAGTGAGAAAAGGGAACAGGACATAATTAAACAATTCAAGATCAGCTGATCATCAGGTCATCTCTCTAAGAACACATTCAAATGACAGAGCAGACACTAGGCTTCACATACGCAAGTGCTAAGTGCTATTATCTGACCAGGGGCTGTGCGTTCTTTATCATTTCTAATTTGGTGTTTTTCTAACGTAACCTGACACCCAGCAAAATAGTTAACGAATGGCACAGCCTTTGCTTTTGGAAGTAATGCTACAGTACTGCAGGAAGTTAGTTAGCAAAGCACGCTAAGGTAGCTAATCAGCCAAGCAACACTAAAAAAGATAAAAACACGACCCTCTGAAGTCTTTAGATGCAGACTATCGCTCTTGCTTCACCAACTTGTTTACTGCTTCAGGTTGTGGAGAAATCCGAAGACGATCTTGCAGGACTTAGTTTCGTTTGCTTAACTATGGTCAGTTACGATTGTCTTAAAGGTGACATATACTCACAGAAGTATTCACCTTTCTAGAGCTGTAAAGAAACTATGTATGAACGTCGAAGGAACTTGACAAGAGAAGGGAAGAAGAAGTAGAGAGCAACAGTCTGCCAGTGAGAGATTTATTCAAACCAATGCAGCTTTCCTTACACACTAATGAACATCTGCATGCACAGCTGTCGATGGGTAAACATGGAGTTTGGTTTCTTGATCGGAACTCAGACCTGATCCGGTTCCATTACCCGACCCGGTTACCAGTCCAAATCAGCCCCAACATTATTTAGAAAATATCAGAAATATCTGATGTTTTTTACAAAGATGTGCAGGAAGGGACTCTGGTTTCTTTTCCTACTCTTAGACTTACATCAAAGAACTCCCAGGAGGTTTTCGCGTGTCCCGTCTCCCGGCTGCGGTCTTTAACCCTCTTGTAAGTGACAATGAGGTTATTCCATTTGCGGCGGATCTTTTCGACAGGAAGCACGTGGCCCTTTGAGGCCATCTCCTCCTGGACGCTCTGAAAGAGCTGCGAGCGTTCCCGGGTCTCGTACAGGCCCCAGCGGCGCCCGACGGCCTCGATCAGACACAAAACGGCTTTGGAGGAGAAATCTGAGCCGGCGGGAAGCGTCTTCTCTGAAGGAGCAGGGGGCATCACTGAAGCTGGGGGAGGACGACACAATTGATTCTGATTAAAATAAAGAAGAATCTCAAGAGTTTCTGAGAGGTCACTTCATATGTAGACGGGTTTAAAGGAGAAATATCAAAGCACGATACACTGATATTTAATTATTAAAATTATCACGTGATGAACACATCGTTTTCTGCTGAGGTTAGAACAGTTTTGGTTATTTCACATTTCAGTCTTTCTCTGGTTTGAAGTAGGTGGGGCTTAGTTGAAGGTGGTGATGTCACATACACCTGTGTGTGGGTTGTCTGATCAAACCTCACTCACATAGTCCTAACGAAGCAGATCAGCTGTTCAAATATCAATAAATAATAACCACAGATGATTTTGAAGATTTAAAACCAGGTTTTCAGGAGCTTTAACATGAAATATGCTGAAAATACATCATCATTTTTATGTCAATTCTACTTGGACTTCCCTCCACGCTGCTGAAGTAAGTGATACAGGACGTCTTAGGGATCTGAAAACAGACTCGTACAGCTGGAGGAGTTGAAGAACCGTCTTTAAAGAGCTTGACTTTTACAAAAGAATTCAATCTCTAATGAACTACAAGTAGTTTTTTTGTTCTGATGATATAAGTTGTAAGGAAAATGCTGCTCTCTCACATTAAGGCTGCAACTAACGATTATTTTTAATATTTTTTTGACTAACTTTAATGTTTAATTGTTTAGTCTATTAAGCGTTTAAACCATTAGCCAAATGTGACATTTTCAAATGTCTTATTTTGCTCGACCAAAAGTCCAAACACCAAATAAAATATTAAGTTTACAATGATATGATGATGATATAATTTTAGAGGCTGTTTCACTATTTCTGCAAAAATGACAAACTATGAAAATACAGTGGCAAGAAAAAGTGAGTGAACCCTTTGGAATGACCTGGTTTCTGCATTAATTGGTCATAAAACGTGACGTGATCTTCATCTACGTCACAAGCACCGACAAAAACAATGCGCTCCAGCTAATAACACACAAACAATTATAATCGTTCGTCTCTTTATTGAATATTTATCCATTAAACATTCGCAGCGCTAGAGGAAAAAGTAAATGAACCCTCGAGTTTAATTACTGGTCGAACCTCCTCTGGCAGCAATAACCTGAAACAGGCTCTTCAGTAGCTGCTGATCAGACCTGCTCTGTGTTCAGGAGGAAGTTTGGACCTGCTTCAGCTCAGGCAGATTCTCAGGTTGTGTGGTGTGAGCAGATGGATTAAAGGTCTGGGCTCTGGAGTGGGCTTCTCCAACAGGTGGATTTTTATCCTGTTGGAGATTTACACGGATGTTTAGGGTCATTGTCCTGCTGCATCAGCAGCTTCTCCTGAGCTTCAGCAGGTGGACAGTTTTTTTTCCCCACATACTTTTTCCAGCCTACACTGTGAATGTTTGAATGTTTTAAATATTGAGAAGAACAACACAGTGATTTGTGTTTTATTAGTTAAAGCAGATTGTGTTTGTTCATTAAATTATTATTCCCTTAGATGAACACCTGACAACATTTTAAGACGCATGTTTACATAAATGCAAATACTGCTTGCTTTTTCTTGTTACACATACAGGTGCTGACTATCGCTTGATTGATTAATCGACTAATTGGTTCAACAATCACAATGGTAACAATATGATCGTCCCCACTTTGATGCTTCGTTACCTGGAGCTATCTTCAGGTAAGTTTTTCCGTCCCCTGATGTGGTGAAGAACCGGTCGGTACTCACAGGATCTAATGATTAGACGATATTGATCATTTAAAAACATGTTCAGTTATAACATTACACCAGTGTGGAAATGAGCCTTCAGCATTTTATTCAATCTTATTTTACACTGCTGAGAAAAACAGACAAACATGAGGATGAATGAACTCATGTGGGCACTCACACAGCAGCACAGGAGTAGTTGTCGTGGCTGCTTGCAGCTGTGTGTCAGGCAGCTCCCCTGCAGTCTGATCCCCTCCTCCTCCTCCTCCTCCTCCCCCTCCTCCTCCTCTGCATGCAGGCGGCTCCTGGCTGCCCAAAACCAGCGCAGATGAATTTTCATCCACCGCTTCAGTTTTCACATGCATTGTCGCGAGGTCGCTGCCGCCTCCCTGCAGATTCCCCTCCATGGCTGACACGGGAACAAACACATGAGCCAAATGGAGGAGAGAGAGAGCAGCGCGTTTGTCTGCGCAGGCGTTAGGATTGGGAGAAAGTTTGCAGGTCGCGGATCTCAGCCGGTGATGCAGAGTTCAGCCCCGGCACGCGCTGCTAAAGTCACGACTCCCGCGCGGCAGGTCGGTTACGTGCAGTGATGGACCGACGCCACCTCCATGTATGTTTTTCATGAGGGAAATGGCTGCGCTGTCCACCTCAGCCGACGGATGCGCAGAGCGGCTGCGCAGCTCCCAGCACAGATTTGCTGCTGGCAGTGACGTCAGCTGAGCGCACATACAGCACGTGTTAAAAGCTTGAAAACGACTTTAACATGAGTGTTTAACACTTCATGTGATCACTTCCAGAGAAGAGGACAAAGTCTGTAGTTTTGTGGACTGCAATAATGTGAAATACATTTACATCATTTTGTCATCCTGTTATAATTGAAGGTATAGGTTTGTAGTATCAGTAAACTTCAGATTCACAATATCATAATAATTTTCGTCAGTTTCCTGAAAAACAAACAACCAAAAAGAAACATAGCACAAGTTTTAGGGAAATTTAATTGAAAGAAAAACTGAATTTAAACCCAAGTTATCATTTATTCTTCATTCTGTTTAAAGGACACATTTGCACTGTACACTGACTAAAAGTATTAACTGGAATTAATTGGAGGAACACCAAATGAGCACTGTCTGTACTTTCCCTTTTACCTGGTACAAACTTGAGTGTTATCTAATGCACACCGAGTAAACAAGTGCAACATTTTTGGTCATGTCTAACTTTGAAATTTTGCATTTATAATAAACTTAGCGATGACTGTGTGAGAGAATTCAACACTTTCTTCCCCTCTAATTAGCACCAAATTACATGGAAATGATTTAGACATTATCTGGGAGAATAAAGTGTTACCAGATTTAATCATGCATTAGTGCTAGTTCTTGTCTTTAAAGTTCGATTAGTCACAATGGCAGTGATAGCAAGTGTCAATCTTTATTTATTTATTTACATCTGAATATTATTATTTTATCAAAATAAGTCAAGGATATGGCATTAAAAATCTGCACAAATATTTATTAAAACATATCCACAAGCTGCACATCAGAGAGAGCATGAATGAATACTTTAATTATTGTGTAGTGAAATGGAAATACACTTTTATTACATACATTCATATAAAAACAACATATGGCAATAAAAACAACGTTGGGAGCAACTCACACATTATTGTGCTGAAGGCAAACCACTGAAATATTAAACCTTTGGTTCTTTCTTTTAAAAACGTCACTAAAGGAAACATGTGAAAATGACATGTCCACTGTTCACCAGTAGTGACGTTACTGAATACTGGGTGTACACTGTAAAGAAACCACTTTCATAGAGTGTGACCTTTATGTGTGACCTTTAAGCACTTTCATTTACAAATTCAATCTTGCATTGCAAAAAGCTTTCAAGTTGAGACAGATAAGATTTAATACAAGTAAAAAAAATCCCCTGGTTATTTGAACTAAATACAAGGGACAGGTCACTAAAATCTACCATTATTGTAATTTTACATATTTCGAACCTTCTCCCATTAGCTACTGTTCACAGATGTTGAACACCTTTTTAAATTCTCCGTTAAATAACTCCTTCAGTCGGTCGCCTAGAGCAAGGAATTCACCGTTAGCCTGTAAAAGAACAAAACAGTCCTTGTCACAATAATAGGTACCTATAAAATTAATTTTTACTTTTGATATTTAGATGTTAAGAAATTAAAGGTTTTCCATGACAGTTTTCTTACGTGGTTGTATGAGGCACAGTTGCTGAAAATGAGCTGGACGTCGAACACAAACTCGGCAATCGTTTGGTATTCTTTCATCTGGAGTTTGTCCACTACTTTGCCCAGCCACATCGGAGTCTGGATAACAGTGGAGTAATTTTCCAACTGTGGGTGCCGAGCAGAAATGAATGAAATGCTCAACAATCTGCAACACTCACGTTTTTTTTATTTTGTTAGTTTTTTTTGTTTAAGACTATCGTACAGTGAGCGAGGTCCTGTTGACAGTGTGATTCCTTCAGTAGCCAGATTATCAAGTGCACTTTGTTTGATATAAGTGAAATAATTGGTAGAATATATAGGAACAGCAGAGAAAGAGACTTACATAGAGGTTTGGGTCTAAAGCAAAATTTTGTTCGTCATCAGCACTGTACAGAAACAGGAGAAGATACTGACATTCCTGTTGACGTGAGAAAAGAAGGGATGAGTGACGGCAGTGTGACAGAGAGACAGACCTGAAGACAGACGTGTGCTCACCAGCATGTGTTGTGATATGTTGCGGAGCATGGCCGATTTCATTTCCATCTTATCACTGTAACGGCACTTGTGGTTGGTTCGGAAAACACAGAACGTACACATCCATAGACTGCTGTCCCTGCTCTCTCACACACACACACACACACACACACACACACACACACACACACACACACACACACACCAATACATATATATATCAGTCTAAGCAGAATATAGAAACTCTTTCTAAAGAAAGAAAGAAAGAGCCACGATGGGCCTTGTTATTTGTTATTTGAACTTGAATGACCTGATCAAACTCAAAATGTACAGTCTGTAAGTGCAGCAGATAAATTGGCAACACCGCCGGCTGAAGGAGCAACAGCCAACGGGGAAACTACAACACTCGGCTAGCCCCAACAATGGTGTGACTTCATCACTCAACTCTATCACTCAGTCAGTCAGTCACAGACATTTGTGTTTATTGGGCTGGCCTCGCTTTTGCAGTCCAGCCAAAGATATTGAGTTGTGCAGCTTTAAACCTGTACATTGAAAGCACTGATTTTTATGATGCATTACAATGTCCACTGCATTAAAGGCCGGTAGTGAAGATTCACATGGGTTGAAATAATAGAAAATCTCTTTCACCTTCGCTAAAACAGTTCGGGCTAAAAACATCAAACAACTAACAGCACAAAAGAAGAAACAAAGAAATCAAACAAATTGTTGTTTATGTCTTCTTTGGCTCCTAGTTTGATCAAAACTCACCTCAAGGTGGCGTCGTCTACATGAGGCAGGTGACATCTCTGATGAAAGGCGCGAGGGCAGTGATCACACACCACCAGCTCTGCTGCTTCTGCACTTTTACAGACGTAACACTCATCATCGTTTTTCTGATTCTCCTGCCAAGACACACAGTCCATGACGGTAATTCTGTTTACATAAAGCAGAACTGTCTGAAACTGACTGATCAAGAAACTTACCAGGTCTATATGATCTGGACTGCACAGTCTGCAAGAACACAGCAGCGAGTGGATCCTCAAGATTTTTGCCTGAAATGGACAAATCAACATATTGTCTTCCTCTTTGTTTCATAGTTCAGATCTTTAGGATTAAAGAGATAGTTGAGGTTAATTGATGTGGGGTTGTGTGAGGTTGTCATGCGTGGTCAGTGTGTTACCTGCAGTAGATCCGGTTAGAAGCAGCAGGAGCACCGGTACACTAGCAGAGTGATGTGCCGCTGTGGGCGGGGCCAGTAGAAAAAAACTGGTTTTTTGGACACTTTTAAAAACATCCACTGAAACGATCCAATATCTGTTTAAATGAAGCTTCATGTAGAATATTTTCAGCAGTTCATCTTCCCGTCAAAACAGCACTTTCCTTTGGCACTACATTTTCTCAACCGCTGAACTACCGTATTCCTACGCACAAGCGCACATACAGCACGCACTGTATTAAGCCGGAGCTGCAGGTTAGCTGAGTGAATAAGGGGGAGCTCAACTTTGTTTTGAAGGGAAGCTAAAGAGGTGATGGCGTTCCCGGCTGCTTCTTCTAACTGGCAGCACGTTGACTCTACTGCAGGTAACACGCTGACTATACACGACTACCTCACATTACCCCACGTCAAATAACCCCAACTATCCCTTTAACAAACCCTGTGGCTCGCTCATATTTACAGCTGAAACGCAACGTCATGAAAACCTGACCTGACTGTGGCTACACATTTGTGCCAACCTGACAGACTGGACTCTAAGATGGAGTAGAAAGCTGAAATGCACCTTACAGTGCATTTGGTGGAAGTGTGAAATTTTGTGGTTTTGTGGCAAAGGAAACTCCCTTAGAACAAGATCCAATCATAACGTATTTAGTCCTGTGACTTTAACGTGTTCTGCATTGATAAAAGTCACATTAAAGTTATAATCCTTGACATTTTCATGAAATCAACCACTAATTTGCATTTTTAGCCATTTCATTGTATTTACAGTCTGTAATTATTTCTATGTATATAGTAGTTTTTTTATTTGTATTGGGGGAGTCTGCCACTTCCTTTGCTGGATGCATCTAATCCAGCCGGATTCTATATGTTTGATAACGGCCTCACTGCTTATTGTTAGCTCACTCTCTCTTTACACCGTATCAGAGCTGGATCACACTGAACATTTCCCTCTGCTGCTGCTTCACGTTAAAAGTGTTGGCGAAACATGTGGTGGCTTTTATTGTGAAGCAGCCACAGGAAATGCAATAAGTTTGTCACGTTGTCAGTGCTATCCGTGATCAATCATTGTCATGTCATGTCAACAAGGAAGCTGTGACATCACCGCGACCATGGTTACCTCTATGAGGACACTGAGCGGTCTTCCGTCCACCTCGATGTCTTTCTTCCAGCTGGCGTCCGGCAGACTTGACGCCTCCTTCACAAACTCCACGGGGCTCAACCACCTTGTCTCCGTACGAATACTCTTCCCACAAGTCCCTGGTGGTGGTGGGGTGAAAGGTCAGATAGGTTCGGTTGCTTTAGTTCACAGCATTACACTTGTCACAGGGCCATCACAGCAAAACAAAACACCAGACACTACACGAGATATACAGATACGTGCAGCTTGACTGTTTTGCTATTAAAGTGTGTACGGACGTTTCCCTCTCACTCGTTTTCCT